TGATATATGATATATCTTATAATATTTTTAAAATTTTAATTAATAATTAATAAAATTTTTCATATTTCATATCTATAATACTTTTAAAAAATAAATAACTAAATAACAAAATATCTTTTAATAATAAGTATAACACAATGCAATTCAATACAAATATTGACCCAATGCTAAAAGCACCCTCATCTTGTATATATCCCCTTAAGTGCCTCTGTTTCTTCCACAAAAGAAAAACGTAAGAAAAAAAACCAGTAAGAGATTAGATACAATGGCTTCTTATATGCCTTCCATGTCTACCATCCTCTCATCCTATGCTTCCCTTTCCACTACCATCATGCTATTCCGCGCAATCTTGTCTGAGATGCTTCCCAGACGAATGCGAGATTACTTTTTGTCAAAGTTCCCCGAATCACTGTTCCGCTACTTCTTCCCCAACTTCACCCTTATCGTTGATCAATACTGGCAAGCAACTACTAACCACACCTTTCTTGCCGTGGAGACGTATTTGTCTACCATAATCGGCACCTCTGCTGATAGTCTTCACATTGGGTCCCATTCATTGGTCCCTCACAAACTCAACCTGAGAATTCCGGCTGGCTGTATCATAATCGACGAGTTCCAGGGTATGAAATTGGAGTGGTCTCTACATAAAGAGTCCGTTAACTCCTCCAGATCCCATCGGGACGAGGTTCAGTACTCCTACCAGGTCAAGTGCAAGAGAAGTGACCGAGAAAAAGTAATGACGAGCTACTTACCTCACATTGCAAACACCGCACAAACCATCCTTAGCAAGCGTGAAAACCTTCATATTTATACTTACGACAAAAATAACTGTGGGTGGAAGTCCGCAGTTTTCAAGCATCCTGCCACATTCGCTACTCTGGCTATGGACCCAAAGAAGAAGGCGGAGATAATTGAAGATCTTGACAACTTTGTTCAACAAAAGGACTTTTTCCAGAGAGTAGGAAGAACCTGGAAACGTGGATACTTTTTGCACGGTCCACCAGGAACCGGGAAATCCTCGTTAGTTGCGGCCATTGCCAACCACCAGAGATACAATATATACGATCTTCAGCTTCAAAGTGTTCGAAGTGATGCTGAATTGAGACGTATCCTGACCTCAACCACAAACCGATCAATTCTACTTGTTGAGGACATAGATTGCAGCACAAAAGCATCCCGAGATCGAACCAAGATTAGAGATGAAAAGGAAGAGCTTGGCCAAGGCGAGCTAGACCACAGGCTTTCTTCTTCTGATCCTGGGGTAAGTAATTTAATTAATTTCTGGAAGGAAGTTACAGTTTAGTTCCACCAGTATAAACTAGTTTTTTCTATAAGGGTTTTTTTTTTTTTTTTTTTTTTTTTCTAGATTACATTATCTGGGTTGCTTAATTTCACCGATGGATTGTGGTCGAGCTTCGGAGACGAGAGGCTCATCATCTTCACAACGAATCACAAGGACAAGTTGGAACCTGCTCTGTTACGTCCAGGACGGATGGATCTTGAAATCTACATGGGTTACTGCACTTTCGCAGCATTCAAACAGCTTGCAAAGTCTTACCTGCAAATCGACGATAATCACCATCTCTTTACCGCCATTGAAAATCTTCTTGAACAAGTATCTGTTACTCCCGCAGATGTTGCGCAGCAGCTCATGACGAAAAGTGACAAGCATCAAGAC